TGTTGATTCTACTACTATTTATACTGCCCCTCTTCAATTGATTGTTGCCGATGTATGGGGTCCCTCATTCAAACTCTCTCGAAATGGTTTTCGATATTATATTAGTTTTGTTGATGTTTACTCTAGGTATACTTGGATTTACTTCCTTACTGCCAAATCTAAGGCTTTTCAAGCTTTTCTAATTTTTAAAACTCATGTTGAAAAGCTCTTTGGTCAATCTATACTTCGTCTACAAACCGATGGTGGGGGCGAATTTCGTTCTTTTGCTCCATATCTTAAAACTAATGGAATTGAACATCGATTGACATGCCCCTATACCTCTCAGCAAAATGGTATAGTGGAATGTAAACATCGACACATTGTAGATATAGGTCTTGCACTCCTATCGCATGCTTCATTGTCTTTGGAATTTTGGGATGATGCCTTTTCCACCGCCACATATATCATTAATAGACTTCCTAATTTCATACATCATCATATGTCTCCCTTGGAGAAGTTGTTTGGCCACACTCCTAACTTTTCCTTTCTAAAGATATTTGGTTGTCTTTGTTATCCATCATTGAGATCCTATAATCGTCACAAAATTGAGCCAAGGTCTACTCCCTGTCTATTCCTTGGTTATAGTTCTGTACATAAAGGGTACAAATGTCTATCTTCTACAAGACGCTTATACATTTCTCGTCATGTTCTTTTTGATGAAACCAAATTTCCCACATCCCAATTTTTGTCTTTCTCCTCCACTCTTATGCCTTTGTCCTCTTCCATTACAAATAACTTTCCTTTGGTCTCACAAATTCCATTAACCAAAAATTGTGATCCTTTGTCAGACCACCCATCACTTTCATCTCCGCCTTTAATAAATGAACCTTCACCATTGGGAGTTGCTCCTTTGTCCTCTTCTAATGTTTCTTTAGCTCCTTCTTCAAGTCATCAGACTTCACATGTTTCACGTGATATTGCCCAATCTTCACCTGAAATTTCACCTTGCTTGGGTCATATATTACAAACATCTCTTCCTGCATCTGTCTATTCTCCATCTGCACAAGATTCGTTGCCATCTCCCATTCTTTCTCCTCCACTAGCTGCTTCGACATCTGCTTCTCCAACAAATGGTGGTAACTAGCATCCCATGGTTACTCGGAGTAAGAATGGGATTTTCAAACCTAAAGACTTCTTAACTGAATACAGTGAAGTGGAGCCACCAAATGTCAAGAAAGCCTTGCGTTGTCCTCAGTGGGTTCAAGCTATGCAAGCGGAGTATAATGCCTTGCTTACAAATAACACATGGTCTTTAGTTTCTCCTCCTCTTGATAAAAAGATCATAGGTTGTAAGTGGGTGTTTAAGATTAAACGTCATTTTGATGGCACCGTTGCTCGTTATAAAGCTCAACTTGTTACTCAGGGATTTCATCAAGAAGCTGATCTTGATTACACTGAGACGTTTAGTCCAGTGGTTAAGCCGACTACAATTCGCGTGCTATTGACTCTTGCTTTATCTCATGGTTGGCCTCTACGACAAGTTGATATTAATAATGCATTTTTGCATGGTGTTTTGAATGAAGAAGTGTATATGGTTCAACCTCCCGGTATGGTACTTCTGTCTCAAGAATGACTGGTTTGTCGTTTAACAAAGGCGCTGTATGGCCTGAAGCAAGCACCTCGGGCTTGGTTTGACAGATTGAGTACGTTTCTTCACTCTCTTGGCTTTGTTCACTCTAAAGCTGACTCTTCTTTGCTTGTCTATCATCAGAATGGAACTCGATGTTATATTTTAGTCTATGTCGATGACATTGTTATAACCGGCAACTCATGTGCTGTTATTGAGAATCTCATTTGTTTGTTACATAAAAGCTTTTCTCTCAAGGATCTTGGAAGCCTGAGCTATTTTTTGGGGTTGAAGTATCCTATCCATCAAATGGTGGGATTTTTCTTTCTCAACAGAAATATATCTCTGACTTGCTMTACAAAACAAAAATGAGTCAAGCTAATGCTATTTCCTCACCTATGGTGAGTGGGAGTGTTTTGTCTCCTTTTCAAGGAGAGAAGTTTTCTGATGTTCGGCTGTTGTGGGTGCTTTACAATATGCTACTCTTACATGGCCTGAAATTTCTTATAGTGTGAACAAAGTACGTCAGTTTATGCATTCTCCTACAATTATACATTGGAAAGCTGTCAAGAGAATCCTTCGGTACTTAGGTGGTACTCTTGATCATGGATTGGTTTTTCGAAAGTCTAGAGATTTGTTGCTTCAGGGATTTGCAGATGCAGATTGGGCGTCTGATCCAGATGATAGAAAGTCTACATCAGGATTTTGTGTGTATTTCGGTGGCAATCTAATTCAATGGGCATCCAAGAAACAAAGTATTATTTCTCGCTCCAGTACTGAAGCAGAATACAGAAGTTTGGCTCATGTCTCTGCTGAGTTGATCTGGTTGAAGTCTCTTTTTACTGATTTACAGATTCACTTGCAACAGCCCCCGATAATTTGGTGTGACAATCTTAGTACGGTTCATCTAAGTGCTAATCCCATTCTTCATTCACGAACTAAACATTTGGAAATTGATATTTACTTTGTTCGAGATCTTGTTTTGCAGAAAAAGTTACAAGTATGTCATTTACCATCTCATGCACAGATTGCAGATGTATTTACCAAGCCACTTTCTGCATCTCGATTTCATCCTATTCGATCCAAGCTCAATGTTTGCTCTACATCATCCATCGGCTTGAGGGGGGTGTTAAGAAAGCTCATTAGGAGTTGTATTTTTGTATAATCTTTTCTATTATAACTAAATTTAGTTAGTGTAATCTTTGTTTGTTAGTGTTGTTATTTAGTCCTACTATCCTGCCTTTTGTATTTAGTAGTACTACTATATAGATACTGTAATTTTATCAAAAGTTAGAGAAGAGATATTAATTAATTATTCATATGTTTCTCTAATTTTTCACTTTTGGAGAGAAACTATTATAGATCGATTTAATTTTAAAAACAAAGATCTATATATAAATTAATTAATGGATGAACTAAGTCGACCAATAAAACATTAATTTTGGACTGAATTTGGATCGAGTTTGACCGAGACTTGAACCAGTCTTTTGACTTTTTAAGTCCGATGATGGGGCGGATTAAGAAGTAAGTTTTCTGCACTGACTAATGGGTATTAAGCTTCTGCACTTCGAACACTATTATATAATTGGTATGGGGCTTCGTTTGGACGCTACAATTCCCTCACTAATATTTCTTTATATATATTTGTGTGCTCACGTTTTGAAAAAGACTTAATTTTCCTTCTTCTATTTTAATTGAAAACCATTAAAAAAAAGAAAATTGATTAACCATGTCAAAAAATTTGCTTCAAACAATTAGGGTATTTCCCAGTTACGTCAGGATGGTTTAATAACTTTTGACCCAACTTTGAGAAGTCACTCTTCATACCCAATGTTGTACTCGTAAGCACACACTATCACAAGTAATACGTAAAAAAACATTACAAGTTCCTCTCTACATAGTTTAGTTTTTTTTTAAATAAATAATGACTTATTTAAATGAAGCAATTGAGTTTTATGGTGATAAAAAAAAATAGTGGTGTTTAGTTGGTTTGACTTTGAAAATAAAAGATTCAACCCATCTACTCTTGCCTAACTTAAAAATAACGAAATGCAACTTTGAGATGTGCAGTTGCACACCAAGTAACCAGATTCGACTTCTATTAAATCAAGTACATCATTGTTATACCAGATACCCATTATTTGGTCGGAGGTATTGTTACGTGAGAATAGGCATAAGAAAGCTAAACTCATATTTGGTATACATTTTTAAACACTTTACTCGGAAGTATTAATATTTTCATGCATCAAGTATTCCTCATTCTTGACGAGAATTTTCTTTATTCTTCCATTTTCATAAGTTTGTCAAATTTCCATCTATGAGCTTCATCTTTTAATCAACATACAAGAGGTTAAATTTAACCCCATCTAAAAAGTACCACGATAGTGTATACTTTTTTCAAAGTGGTATTTAAAATAAAAAAAATAAAAAAAATCTAAAACCCTTCGTCAAAACCCTGGCCCGAACAGTCTTGGCGCGCTCAAACACAGCGCAAGATAAGAGCGAGAGCGATGGTAATGGCGCTTGAACAAACCCTATCTCTTTCCTCATCGCTGTTACCAAAACACACCCTCCTCTCCATCCCAAGAAACAGATTCCGAATCGCTTCTCTCTCGCATTTAGATGCTGCGAAACGGCTCCGATTCGCCAGACGCTTCCCAAAATGCTCAGCTATGGAGAACTTCAGCAATTACTCTACATCCTACCGTAAACCTCCCGAAATTCCATGGAGTAAGGAGCTAAGCAACTCCGTAAGTCTCATCGGGACCGTTGGTACGCCTGTGGAGATCAAGCACCTAGCCTCGGGCAAGGATGTTGCTTGGACGCGGCTCGCCGTGTGGAAGTCATCTACTGAAACATCTTGGTACGAAATTCTATTGGTTTCTTTTTTGGATTGGGCTTTAGTATTGTTGCATTTTGGTAGAAGTTTGAATAAGAACGTTTACGAATATTGAAGAATAAACTCTTGAGTAGTTGGAGTTGAGATGTTAAGACTTTTTATTTGAGAATATGGGAAATTTAGGACCATGGTTAAAGACTTCGTTTACTCATCTGTTTAGGTGGGAGTGGCTCCCGAACATTTGTGTCTCAATTTCAGTATGATGTAGAAAGCATATGGATCTGTAATGGATAAACTTATTTCGTTAAAATGGCGGCTTTGCTTTACCTTCCATTCCATCTTAAAGAAATTCGGGGTTTTGACAAAAAAATGTATGAAAAATTTTAATTGCTTTTCTGTTTGAAGAATGTTGCGTCTTTTATTTGTATGAATCTATCCTACCATGAAGCCAACTTATCAATTGTAATTTGAAGGAAATACTATCTGCCAGAGCATCCTAGAACTATTTCATCCCAACAATCTCTAGACTCTGTGACCCATATCAGCCACCAAATTGCTAGCCCTTTAACCATATTTAACTGTTTAATCATCCAACATAGTTGCAATTTTGTTAATTCTGTTAGCAGTTCTAAAAATGTTGTAAGGTAATTGAGCAGAATTATAAGTCGCATGAAGTACTTGGTACTCATATAACATGGAATATACGTTTTTTTAATTAGTAACAACTTCCCCTTAAGAAAGAATAAAAAGGGAAGCAAGAAGTCATCCAAGGGCCGAAGGAGCTTGCAAATAATTACTCCAATTGACATTGATAAAGAAAGAATCATAATTGCAACAATATATGAGGTCACTAGGAGTAGGGGAAAAAAAAAAACAGAAGGCACCAAAATATGATAGAGCTCACTAGTGTCGTCCTTGAAATCCTATTCTTTTCCGGCCAAAATTTCCAAAGCAAACCAAAGCTGACATTGGTCAAAGAATCTTCCTTTTTCTCTTGAATGTGGAACTCTTACATACTTGATAGGAGCACTAGGTTAAACTAAATTGACTCTGTAAGGGGTCACCGGCCAATGAATTGACATTAGTCTATGGCATTATTTTTTTGATATCCGTGTACCTAGGCCAGCTTGGACATTAATTTATGGCATATTGATTGTCTCGCCTTTCGGACATATGTCAAACTAGCCTTTGAAAACGAGGAATTTATCCAATGCACCGAAGGAAGATAGATGAGGCCATTGTCATGTATAAATTTTCCATTGAGCTTTATAGATTTAGTCACTCCACCCAATTTAATTTTTATGAAGGAAATACAGTGATATTTAAATCACGTGCTAAGCACTAAGCTTGCTTGAATATTCTATTAATTTCCCAACTCTCTCCAAAAAAATAACTCCTTCAGTGTGTTTAGATGGCAAACCATAATACTTTTTTGAACAAGATATCAATTTTTCATTGAAAGTATGAAAAGGAACAAAAATTGTTCAAAAATACAAACTGCTGAAGGAGCGACAGAGAAAAACTAAAAGAGACAAACTTCCTAAAGAGAGCAATAAACGCGAACAAGAAATAAACGAGAGCAATAAACGCCACCCAAAGGCAGACCATAATACTTGAAAGCTACCAAATAAAATTATTGAAATTACAAAATTGAATAATTAAAGAGAATGATTTAAGAACCACTTCCTGGAACCAAATAGAACCAGAGTCCCACAAGAAAATAATACCATCTGAAGAGCCCCACAGTCCACACCTTTGATTCCTTTCACACATCCAAATACTTTTAACTAAACTAGCAGGGCAAGAAGTCTGTTTGGTTTCTTGAAGAATAATGACCTCAGGCCCCTTCCACAGTAAAACCTCGCCAAGCCTCGTTTAAAATTCCAAGGATGCTATTTGTCCACTCCCCCTTGATGACTTGGCGTGGAACCTTGGTGGACTAGACAAAGGCCTACCCATCTTGCCCAACAAAATTCTCAAGTTGGACCACTCCTCAAAAGGCAAATCTAACAGTCCCACCCCTCCTAGAACCTTGGGGAACTGGACAAAGGGCCATCCATCTTAGCCAACAAAATTCTCAGGTTAGACCACTTCTTGAAAGACAAATCTCCCACCTTGCTGATATACCTTACAGTTCCTTGGTATTAGCTAGTAAGTTCGTTAGAGGAGTGATTTTAAGTAAAGTAGCCTGGAGAGGTCAGAGATAGGCATTCTTTCAAAAAGGATTTGGGGAGAGACCAAGTCTTTCAAATTTTTAGTTACCCTTAGGCCTTATCCATTAGCAAGTCCAATCGTGTCTTTGTTGTTAATTTACTATAAGGAAAGAAAGAAAGAAAAAGGGTGGAATAAGGGATAGCATTATTGAAAGACTCTGATACTGATAGAACCTCTTGTATTATTTATGTTAAGAGAGAAACAGAGCAAGGGAGTACTTGAAGCTACCCCAAACCACAAAATAACCAAAATGAACAAGGTACCTGTTCTCTCTCTCTCACTATGGTATTTAACCATATGTACACATTCCCTCACAGCCCTACAAATTAACTGGGCCTCACCATTAAAACAGAATCACTCATCCTCACTCACATATCTTTCTTATTTTCTCTCCCCCTTCTTCCCACTATGTACTTCCAGTCTTCCACAATCGGGAGCCTATCAGACTCTTCTATTTCTTTGAAGCCAAATTTTCCTCAAAGTGCTACTTTCACTCCTTTGCATTGCAGAACTTTAACTTTGATTAGCATTTCATTCTTCATGCTTTCATATAAAACGACAATTAGAACTTAAAAGATCTTTTTGTTCTTCTAATCCATATCATCAATGAAATTGTTTCTTCTATACAAAAAACAATTAGGACTTCAGAGAGAAGAATCAGATCTAACCAGTTATTGACTAATTTTCCTCTCCTGATAATCTATGTATAAAACAATACGAATTGTTATCTTGCTGGGATTTCATTTTCCTATTCAATGTGGATAGTTGGCCCTTTCAGGATAAATTTAACATTCTGGGATGAGTTGGCACACATTGCTTTTCAACACGTCCAGAAAGGCAACCAGATACATGTATCTGGTCGGCTGGTAGCAGATCTAGTTGAAGCTGATGATGGGAAACAGCAAACATACTACAAGGTTATATAATCCTTGTTCATATCGTTCCATGGTTTTCTATTCGTTTCCTGAGGTAAATACTGATGCTTTCTACATCTTTCATAGGTAGTAGTTCAGCAGTTGAATTTTATAGAAAGAAGCATCTCAACAGCACCCCATCATGATCAGGACTCTAATTCCATAGTGGCAGGCATGGGATATTTTTGAATTTATGATTATTGATCTGACACTTTATTTTGCTTCAGAATCTTATTAGTTGATGTCCTATCATAATTTTTTAACAGGGAGAAAGCTTGGCAATGGTGCTGCTGATAATATGGGGTCCACACAAGAATTATGGCAAGCATTCTTTGCTAATCCTGTCGACTGGTGGGACAATAGGAAGAACAAGGTACTTGATTTATTCTCTTGAAATTCCTAAGATTCACGTATCTAGTTTTTGGATTCAAATGTTCTTAACATTGACGAAGTTTGTTATTTACTAGTGCTTCTATGTATATCATTGCCATTATTATATTTTGACGAGAAACAAGTAAAGCTTTTCATAGATGCGTTAAGAGAACCAAAGGAACTTACAACAAGCTGCCCAATTGGCAGAATTACAAAAAAGCTTTCATGTAAATTATGGAAAGAAGACTTCTTGTATACTGCCTATAATCTTTATCTTTAAAGATTTTTTATGCATATTTATTATTTCCTCAATGAAATTATCAGTGAAAGGAGAGAGGATTCTTATATTTGGACGAGTTTTGTAATTCAAACCTTCTTAGTTCCATTAATAGTCGAAAACACCATTAAAATTTACTTATGCTAGGATGAATAGGAGGGCCCAACAAAATGAACCCTCAGTGGGTTTCCCAAGAGATGTTAAGATTTCTTGAAGGGGGCCTGTGATGTAACTAATAACTATACCCCTAGTTCGTAATAGGATGGCGGGGAAAATTAAATAAGATATGTTAGCAGAGAGCCTTTGTGGTGGTAGGTGGGGGAATAATAGTTCTTTTAAAAAATATCTATGAGAACGGGCACGAAATAACCACTTTACCCTACAACATTTGTTGTCAAGAAAATTCGCAAGATATTAAATTTTAGGTAGGTGGCTACTTGGGGTTTTAACTCATTCTCTTTTAAGTTTCATTACTTTTTCTTTAGCACATTTGATCACTAGGCCAACTCGGGAGATATTAGGTATTTAGTTGGAAAAGCAAGAGCAGACCTCTTGAATGGCTGCATTTTCTTGGAAATCAACTATATCATGCTGCTTGCATTATCTTGGGCTCTAACAGATATTAACCGAGTGTATTACCTTTTCAAGTTTTGTTAGAACTCAAAGACACGGTACTACAACAACCTATAGTACATATCCTATTCAAGTAAGATCGTGAGCGTATTACCTTTTATGGTATGAAATCACAGAAGAGGAGGGTAGAGTCGAGTCCTGAGCCAATGAAGACAAAAAGCTCCTCCAATTAGCTGCAAGAGCATTTAAGTTATATTTGTTAAAAGAGGCATAAAAGTAATCGACCGAGTGGATTTAACCAAGAGCAACAAGGGAACAAAGGAAAGTAGTCAACTGATTTCAAAAAAAAAAAAAAAAAAGATTTCCACATTTTGCAGGCCACTTCAGACATTCCAAAAGTTACCTTTTGTGTGTATTTATAGGTTCTTCCCTATGGTCCTGTCTCGTTTGATAACCATTTTATTTTTTGTTTTCTGTTTTTGAAAATTAAACTTACAATTACAAATACTACTTTCACATGTGTTCTTTTATTTTCTTTTATTTTGTTATCTACCCTCTAAAAACATTTTAAAAGTCTAAACCAAATTTTTTGAACTAAAGAGAATAGTTTTTAAAAACTTGTTTGTGTTTTTGAAATTTGGCTAAGAACTGAAAAAGAAACTTGGAGGAACTAGACATCATTTTTAAAAATAGAAAACAAGAAACGAAATTGTTATCAAATGATATCAAATGAGGCCTTATATGATGCAGTTGTTGAACACTCACCCATTTGATTTTGGTTGCAGAAGAACCCTAAATATCCAGATTTTAAACACAAGGACACTGGGGAAGCCTTGTGGGTTGAGGGCAGGTACAATCCACCTTGGGTGAAGTCCCAACTGGCAGTACTGGATATGAGAATGGGTTCTCTTGATGAACAGGAAGCCAAAATGGCTAACTTTGTTACCAATCTTGATTTCCCATCTTATTAAATCCCGACTCTGGATTCCATAAAATTGTTTCCAACCACCAAATATTTTGGTAAGATTCTCTCTGTGCTGTGGCTTGTATAGTTTGTAAATGTATCTGTTGTGGCCTGTATCTCATCATTGTTAATCATCTCTCAGTAATTTCAAATTGAAGAGAATGCCCCATAAAGAGACATTTGGAATTTTATGATATCTTGAATGCATTTAGTTTATAGTATATTGAACTTCTTGGTGGTGCACAAATCAGAGGAAATCTTTTTTGTAATTTTGTAGCTTCTTCATGATTATTGATGGTTGGAAGACTTTTTGTAATTTTATAGCTTCTTCATGATTATTGATGATTGGAAGACTTTGCTTCCTTTTTTCTGTCGTAATATTTTCTCATAAAAAAATTGAATCAATATATTTGACTGTATAATGGATATATGTATTCGAATGTGTTTTTCAAATCATATCTATCTACTAATATTTTTTTATAATATATTTTTTAAATTCTAGCTCAATTTTGAAAATTAGGAAATAAATAGTTTTTAATATTTTTTTTAAAAAGGTTTGATTACAATTTCAAAATATTTTTAAGCAAATCATAATGATTGTGGCTCTATTTTGCAAAACTCTTCTTATCATGATAGTGTTTTTCTCGAAATTTTTTATGGAAATACCTATGGTTTGAGATATAATAAATTGTATACGGATAGATGAATCGGTTCGATAATCAATATTTTTCTTTTTATCAGTTCTGTAAGAGTTAAATTTTTTTGAACTATCAGAATATCCTGAAAAGCTTAAATAAATGAAATAATTGTTGTTAAACAGAGTTTAAATATTTTAAAAATTACAACGAGGTCTAATATTTAGAGGTTGAAAATCTACCATCAACGTTCAGCGGAAGGAAGATTTGTTCGAGTGTTTCAATAACACTAATGTGGTGATCAAGTCAAGTTTGTGTCGAGTGGTTATGACTAGTTATTACTTATTAGCACTTGTTTATGTTTCTAGAATTGGTCGATCTTGAGTTGTCATGTTGAATGCTTGGGCGAAAATTGCTCAAATGATTTGCCTTTTTGCTCAAATGATTTGCCTTTTTCTCCTTATTCGATTTTGGAGATAGTCGAGTGATAGGTGTTTTAGGCGCTCTAAAAAAAACAATCAAGTTCCATTTTGGACACGACGTAGGTTTTAGATAGACGTGTCAATAATCACATAGATTATATGAACAACAACAGAAATCCATTTGTGTGCGAGAGATGTTTACATGTGAGGGTTCCGTTCCAATGAGGACTCAATCAGTCATTAGAAAAATGGGAAGCACGATCGAGATCTAGAGTTCCAATGAGGACTCAATCAGTCATTAGAAAAAGTGCGAGCACGATCGAAATCTACACCTTTTATCTTTATTTGGGTTTAGTTTCTAAACTTTCAAATCATTCGTTCCAATCCTTCAATTCTCAAACGCTCGCTTTATTTCATTCTCCATAAAAAAAAAAAAACAATTTTAAAGGAAAGTGTTTAAAAGTCTAAAGAGAATAAAAATTCACAACCAAAATAGAATTGAAACCAAAATCTTACTACCACGAACAAGAAATACAACACGTGAACTCAACAAGTCCAATCCAACAGTAACTTTGCTAATTGGCAAGTGATTGTTATAAATGAAATGCATCTAAATGTCTAAACTGAACAAACTTAAAAAAGGCACATCAGATCAGAAGTCAGAACCAAAAAAAAAATGCTCCAAATGCCAAGCAGAAGCAGAAGCAGAAGCAGAAGCAAGCAATTTGTGTGCCAACTTTAGATACCAAAACACTTAAAACCCTGTTTGCTTTAAGCCAATAATTTGGTTCTTCACACTGCTTAACACTACTTTTCTTATTCCTTATGTAAAAGTAAAACCAAACAAATTCTCAACAAAAAAAAAAAAGTTCTTGTCTTTGGAATCAAGGATCAAGCTTTTATGGGGCAACCCATCTTTCTAAAACATGCTCTCTCTCTCCTCAATGATTTATTTGGCCAATAATGATCAAGGAGAATACAAAAGTCTCATAACTTTGGGAAACCCACTATGGATTACTGCTGGATTTGGAACATAATGCTTCCCTTTTTTTTTCCATGTTTAATTATACATTTAATCCAACTTAATTGATTGTTGCCTTAGGATTCTATCATTTAGTCCTTGAATTTCAACCCAATCTCGATATAGCTAATTGATTAAGGCACCTATTTTTTATTAAAAGGTATTTAAAGTTCTACGCTCACATGTTATATTCAAAACAAAATAAAACACTTCGAAAAATAACGGTTGAATTTCATGATAAGTGAGCTTCATACCCACATATTTGTTTGTCTGTGGTAGAGATTACTTTATATAGTCTTTTTTTTTATTGATTTGATGTAATAAAAAAATTGCAAGAGAGTAAATAGATGAAATCAAGGTAATTACAAATTAACATGTAATTTGAGTGAAGTTTGTATATGGTCGCTATGATTTTCAAAGTTTTAATTTAGCTTTTATGGTTTGGGTTTAGTTTCAATTTGATCTCTAAGGTTTAGACTTAACTTCAATTTAATCTTTATAGTTTCAAAAGCTTTAATCTTTATAGTTTCAAAAGTTTCAATTTAGTATTTATGATCTAGCCAAACTTCACAAATCATCTTTTTTCACGTAGAAATTTTCTATTTGAATAACTGTGCCGATTGAGTGTACTGGCGTTTAGGATTGCATAAAAAAACGGGTAGATTTGAAGCTAGTAAAACAAAATTTAAAGATGACCAGTGAGATTTAACCAAACCATAAGAATAAAATTGAACCGAATCCCTATATCAACCAAATCGAAAGTTCTAAAATTATAAAAACCAAATTAAATATCAATCAAAACCATAAAGACTAAATTAAAATTTTTAAAATCATGAAGACCACATTAAAACTTTATCCAAATGGTACGAATAAAATTTATAATTTAATCATAAATTAAAATTAACCTATGCACACATACTCCTTTTTGAATAGTAAGCCTACTATGTCTCAATAAATTAACCTATGCACACATACTCCTTTTTGAATAGTAAGCCTACTATGTCTCAATAAACATGCTACGACATCATTAAATTAATGACTCTAATAACCGAGATTAAACAAAAAAAATTTGAGGATACAATTTAAAAAAAAAATCTTTTAAACTTTCAAGCCTGAATAGGACAACCACTAAATTTGTATAATTTAACCTTTTTCTCCCTTTTTGTTTTTCAAACTACCAATACTCTCAATTTCAAACTTCTTCATTTCCTTTCCTTCTAAAGGTGCATCATCCATTTAAAATTATACTAAACAAAAAAAGAGCTTTTATTCATATTTTTACAAGGTCCCCACATCCCACTACATAAGAAAAAAGGTGCTTTGGTCATTTCCCACCACTCACTCCCTCCCCTCCCTCCACCATTGATGCAAAAACAAGAAAAGAAGAGCATATCAATTAAAGCTTTGACAAAATTCTTCTTTGCTTTAGTTGAGACCTGAAAACCACCCCCCTTGCTTGCATTTTTTAGGGCATTGACATCCCCATCCCAAAAACAAAACCTAAAAGTAATCTTAAAAGGCAACAACTATGGCATCTGACTTTGATTGCATTACCAATACCCACCACAAACTGAAGGGGAACAACGACGAGTGTTGCGACGGGACCGGATGCAGGCCTAGTACCCAACAGCGATCGGTGAGGTTTCTTTTCCTTTTGGGGATTGTGGGAATGCACGTCCCTCCCTCCCTCCCTCCGCTCGGGGGTCATTCTATGGGGGTGGGTTGCTCTCTGGCTTCACCGAACTCGAGCTATCGGGCGGTTGTGTGTGATAAATCGCCGAAGCCAACGAGATGGGCATGATGCAGAGCGCCTTTGATTGGAGGAATTGCATTGCAGCTCCTACGTTTTCTTCCATAAGCTTGGCGACTTGTCTCTCCGTACCGTCGTTCGACCATTTCTCCCATGCGGGTTGATTCCTACCGCCTTCACTCCCTTCTTCCTACGATGTAATAAGGCATTTTTTAATAACCAAGAAAAAGTTGACAATATAAGACCCCCTTTGATAACAGTTTTGTTTCTGGTCATCAAAACGGCATAGAAAACCAAGAATTGGAACGTTATCAAATGGGCCAGAGTCGTAAAAGTCAAAGATTATGTTTATCATTTCACTACCTCAACTGATGATAGTGGGATATCCGTTACAAGTGGAGCCACAGCACCAGCTCCACCCAATCTACTCATGCTCAAAACCTGCAAAGTAGATGAATGTAGCAATGGATAAATACCTAAAAAAGTAGCATATGAAAGCTGACTGTTACATCCAAAAAAAACAGAGGAAAAAAAGACTAAAGTTGATCTATGAGCGCGAGCAGTCGTTTTAAACAACAGCCCGGCTTTGTTCATATAAAGAATGAAATACACTTAAATGAGGAATTGAAAAGCAACCGGTTCTAAAGTGTACAAATAAACATATATCAAGACCTAACTATAAGTTCAATTTGATTATGAGATCTCTAAAACGATTTTTGAAGTTCCGATCCAAAAACAATCTTCATATTCAATCTTCATATTCGTTTAATCATTAAGTTTCAACTTATCAGGTAATTGATGAAACTTTCATGGATAATAGTCGCTGTAATTGAGTTTTCCCAACCACTATACCTTTACTTGGAGACGTAGGAACTTTACGTAGTCCACTATTTCGTCAAGCATCGCAGCTCTATCCGTCTACCCAAAAAGAAAAACGAATCAGTACCAAACTAAGATTAAAAGTCTAGATAACAATACATTATCTCTTGGAGAGGATAATGCAAATGAAAAATCAGGTCAACAGG